ATCACTGGTCGCCATTTTGGAGGGGATACACATATCACTAGTGATATGTGTGCGGAGATACACATATCACTGTGACAGGGGTGCTCATTGTACCTTTTAGGGGTTAAAAAAGCGGGTTTGCTACCTCTTAGGGTGTTTTAGCCTCTAATGGTCCACAGCAGGAGCTTTTGCGGTACCCTTTAGGGTGTCAAGCTGACAAAAATAAGACAGGAGATAATGTGTTGTTTTAGAATTGGTACATCTAAGGGGTGAAAAAAATTTCAAGCAATGTCTACATAACAGGATCTTGGTATCCCTTTGGGGTTCTTTTCAAAATTTCCGAGAGCACCCACGTCCCTTTTATATGGGAGTCCTCTCTGTGGGCATGTACCTTTATATACGGTGAAACATGTTGTTCTGTAAAATACTGGAGAGGTTCTGTTCCTCCACCTTTGGAATTTTTTGCCATACAGTATATCAGTGTCAGGATGAAAAATTATGACCTAATACAATTCAAGGATTTCCATCTTTGCTTGATAAAAGTCACCATTTTGTTTTGCTAAAATCGGGCTTTTAAAGTATATAGTCCACTTAATTAACAAACTTTATAGTTGGATGAATGACAGAGGAATAATTTACAGAGTTACAAGACAAGTTTTGATAGGGGGCTAAACGACTTATGAGGGGGGCTAATCGACTTTAGGGTGGGGGATAACAGGATAAGGGCTGCTTGTCGTGGGGTTAAGACCCGGTTTCCCTTTTCATGGTCACAATAAATACTTGGCATATAAATAACGTTTTGCATGTACAGATACTCAAATAAGATGGACAATATACTATAATTAAAGAACAGCAAATTATTACTTCAGGACATTCGCGTGAAAATTTTCCAATATTGATTTCTTTCTGAGACTTTTACCACTGTAAGATGATGAGTTAGTTATGTCAGAAATGTAAAACAAAAATGGGGGGTCACAGACTTCGTTTTGGAGAGAACATACACAGAAGAACACCCTAAATCTGAAAAAATCGGGCTTCATTAGTGAATAAGGCCACAGTGTCTGTAAGCCCAAAAATATTGTGATTAGATCTTTGAAGAGAAATGTTCTCTGCCAAATATTAATGAAGTGGACCTATTAAGTAAATGTAGTCAACTGGTGAGGTTCCTTAATGAACAAGTTTGCATTTAGCGACCATAGTTTCATGTGCCTTGCAGCTGCAAGATGGCAGGATTTGATGTCCCATGGACAGAAATCTTGAAATTTTTTTAACTTCCTGCATTGGTTTTTTGTTCATTTTTGGACAATGTGGAGGTAATTGTAAATAAAATTTGTTTCTGGAAAGAAAAGTAGGGGTAACCAAATGTCCAAGATCGTTAAATCCAAGCAAAGCTATAGCAATGGCCATCTGCCCTATCATTGTTCATTTTAGTACTTCACGCGTGCGCTCAATGCATGACATGGCATGTGAATTTGCGTGTGCAGTAAGGCTGCACAGAAACAATTAGCGTGAACATCCTTAATGCATATGCTATTCTTAATCTTCAATGTTTGTACCGTTCGTATTATTTGTTTTTTTTCATATGGCAGTCAGTGGTTTTGTTTGAGTGGAAGCAAGGTATCC